TGTGTGTGTGTGTGTGTGTGTGTGTGTGTGTGTGTGTGTGTGTGTGTATTAAGAGCCTTTCCTCGCTGTACACACTGGTGCACACCAGTAATCCCAGGACTCAGGGAGGTAGAGGCAGGCAGATCTCTGTGAGTTTGAGGCCAGCCCAGTCTACAAAGAGAGTCCAGGACAGACAAGGCTACACAGGGAAATCCTGTCTCGAAAACCTACAAACAAAAACCAAAAAAGAAAAAGAGCCCTTTTTCACTGCTGGCCAAATGAGATGAAAAACCTACCGACAGTTTCAGTTCAGATAACTTTTAACTAGGTAACACAAGTTTAACTTACTAGCCTCCTTAAAGGTAATTCTTGTCCACACAGTTTTTTCTAAAATTACAGCATTTCAGAATTCAATCTGTGTTTCCACTTAACTCACTTCCTACCAGCCGGAACTCAACCTGTCCTCCCTCTGAAGCTCAGAATCTTTGCGGGTGTGAGCTAGCACGTGCATTGTGGACTCTAGCCCTTTATTCAGCAACTTGACCATCAACCCACTTGTCCTGATCTCAAAGAGAAATTTCCAGTTGTGTCCAAATAAGTAGTCAAATGGATAGAGATACAAACAGACTAATAATGCCCTAAGAGTTATCAGACAGAAAGGAGGCCTCATGTGGTGATTAGCGCAGATGCTTTCCACTGTCCAGCCATGCATGAACCAAGAATCAAGAATCACAGAAGAGTCTGAGTCCACAGCATTCTAACTATACTTCCTAGGATCCCTCCTTTCCTTCTGAGGTTTATAATAACTTGTTCTCTACCACCAAACACCACAGTTTTAAAGACTATCTTCTGGCCATTGTAGGTTTTTGTTGTTTTTTTATTACTGAAGTGTGAATAGGAAACTTGAATCAGCAGGTAGATAGATGGACTAAGTTCAGCCCTTGTGAAATTCTAAGCACCCATAAATCCTAAACAAGTATTTACAAACTCTGGGCTACAAGCCGGCTGGTGATCGAACTGCTGCAGCAGAAATGAGCAAATCTGTACCACTGAGTCTGGCCTCTGCCTAGGAGCTGCCCAATCCTATGAATGAGCACAAAGAATAAGTGAACTCTACCCTGAGCAGGCCATGCAGCTGCTGTTTAAGCCAGCAGAGCCCCACCTCCCTGGTGTCCTTCGTTCCCCCTCAAACAGAACAGCAGACTCAGCATTCACAGAGCACTTCCTATGTAGCAGGTACCATGAAAAGCTTTGAATATATGAACTCATCAGATTTCCAAGCTCCTCAGGAACAGGCTGGAGTAAGAGAAATGCTTTGGCCCAGATTCTCATAGTTTCTATTCTGTGTCTCTAGCTGTGCTGTAAAGCTTATATAACCCAAATTTGCATTATGGTTCTATTTTTAAATACTTCCAAGGATCAGTGCTTCAAACATTAACGGAAGCTGTTAGTTCCTAACTGAAACGATGGTATGTGGGAAAGAATATCTATTTGTACAACAAATCCAACATGAATTCCTTACTTAAAACAGTCTTTCTGTAAGATACTATTAGGAAAAGTGGAACTCACTCTTAAGCAGGCTGCACTGTGCTCTGTCAATTAGGTGCTACAGAAAACACACACCAGTATTAAAGCTCCTCTTGACTGGAGGTGCTTGGGTCTGCTGTTGTCACTGATACCCCAAACATCTCCCTCCTTTAGCCTCCTAGTCATGCTAAGGAACCCATGATCACTGGCTGCATGGTATCAGATGTTGCAGAGAACAAGCCTAAATGCCATGGCATCTTTCCAGTTCCGGGTGACTTGAGGAGGTACTGGCATTAAGAGGAGAAATGAAAGGCAGACCATTCACAGAGCGAACTGCTTTCAGATATCACTCTGCTCACAATGCCTCTGGTTTACAAGCTCCAGACAGCTTGAGGGGGGAGGGGGAACATCTCTAGCTCATTTTAACTTAGTACTGACTATTCTCAGCTCCTACCATTTGTGAAAAATAAGAATCAGAAAAATTACAGCAAGTGACTTCTTGTAACTCTAACACTCACCTGCCATTTAAAGAATGTAGTCAGTGCTTATATTTCCCACTGTATTCTTTGCAGGACTCTAGCAAGTGCTGCCAAGCAGGGCTGCAGTGGGCTGATGCCCCATTTTCTGACCATACACTTGGACAGAGCATGAGTAGCATAACCAGAGCAGATCTTAGGCCCCCAAGAATGCCAGAGAAATATGCTACTTGAGGATATCCTCAAGTAACACCAATTTGTGGTGTCGAAAAGCCTACAATATCCAATATTTTATAATTAAACTGCTAAATAAATTAATAACTTTTGCCACTGTTAATACACTATCTCCGAAAGTAGGGTATTTATTTACAACAAGGCCAATTCCGTCAGCAAGGAAACTTTCATACTTAAGATGTTTCCGTTGGTCGGAGCCTCTGCTCCCTGGCTCCAGAAAAAGCTGCATCAGCAGGCACAGGACTGAGCTGCACTGCACCTACTCTGCTTTGCACAGCCTTTAGCAGAAGCCGAACTCATGAACTGCAGGTTCCGTATGGGAACAAAGTTCCAGCAGCCTCAATGCTAGAGATAAACAGAAACTGCTACAGAAAGAAATGTAAAACATAAAAATTTATTCACACACAAACACACAGCTAAGCATCTAACATAATGAGGTGTATTTGTGGGATATACTAACTTAAGCAAATCCTTATTAAAGCATTTGATCTAACCCTCATGTTCTTTAAATGAACCCTGTTCATGACTGAATACAGTGAGAAATGATATTCTAGGTACCTAACTTGATAAAGACAGACAGATTCCTTAAGTCGATTTGGTTTCTACAGACTCAGTATTCACCTTTCTGAGTCTTGCTCAAGTTGATTCAGCAAATAATTAGCTTAACTCAGCCAATTACACATATTCCCCATAGTTCACTCTTTTGTCTTTTGTGTTTCTCTATTGCTTTTTGTTTTTAATGGCTTCTTGCTGTTGCTGTATTAGGGCATGCAGCACAGGTCGGAGAAGGTTCTCTTCTTGAGAGATTGGCACTTGTACCCTCAGCCTGTGCAGCAAATGCACACATGAACCCTACAGCACTGTCACCAGCATTCCTGCTTCTGATACCCCAGCTTCTTGGCCAAGACAGTGCCCTCTCACTTTAACTCTCCTTATATAGTACTGCTACAGCTGAATTATTACATTAAAACAGGTGCTTCTGTATGTATAACTTACATATACACTATATCCTAAGTTTCTCCCCACAAAATACACTTGACTCAGTAAATGTGAAATGGTTCTCTTGAATAAAAAGCATTTACAAGAGTATTAAAACAAATGCTGAAAATTACTATTTTACATTCAGACCATAAAAATTTTAAGTTATGCAGTGACATAAGACCTAAGAGATCAAATACATCATATGATTGTCATATATGCAGGTTGTGTTAATTGGTTATTTTTTCTTTAATCAGAAAATAAAAGAGCTTACCTTTGTATACTGAGATCACAGCTTACAGTCACTATATCTCAGCCTATTTTATACAAGTGATATGGCTACGGAGATCCGAGGAGAACGAGAATAAAGTGAGATAAACGTGCTGAAAACTGCTTAAAAGTATTAACCTGAAATACACAGAGGGTCCAACACCAGTTTTAAAAATACATTAACGAGGTATTCCCAGCTCTTCAATTAATTACGGTGACTGATTCATGATTTTCAAACATTTACCCAATTTTTCAAAAAAGAAAAAAAAATGGCTAGTCCAAGCAAAACCTATCAGGAATTCATTCCCACAGGTAACAATTTGAGAGATCACAAACAATTTCAGAAGCTACTTAAACCCAACCCCTGACTTCACCATACTATGCACCGAACCTCATTAGCATGAGGTAAGTTGGAAATCTATGGAGCCATTAAGGGGCACAACAGATGGGGCACTCCTGCAGCCTTAAGGGACACAGGTTGCCAGCCACAACTCTGGTGAAGCACTGGCCCCCACCAAAAGATATGGCTTAAGGAAGACACCTGTCTCAGATAAATTATAATACTGCTAGCTGACACAGTCAGAAATGTAAGTGCTGGAGTTATGTGCTAAAAACTATTACAAAAGTATCAGAGGGTAGCATAGCTCACACACAGTCTAAGGTCTACGCTGATCTGTGAACTCCCTGGTGAGAGCTACACTGAAGGGCTTACATCTAGGTATTGCTACATTTCCAAAAAGGAGAGCTTTAAAACAGACATCGTGGTTTTGGACAAAGTATTGCTCTTCTTTAAAATTCTCAGTCATTGTTTTCAAAAAGGGTTAAAGTGGTGGATCTGAAAGCTGGAAAGCCTCAGGGGTCACATTGCTGTTAAGACCAAGATATAGAAAATTGCCATTCAAGCCAGACAACCTGATGGTTCTAGAAGTCAGAGAAGAAATCTTGAGGGCCCAAGTGAATAATAAATGGTGCGACGCTCAGAGGCTGGCAATAGGGGCTGTCAATGAAAAAACCACCTACAGTGGAGAAAAGAGCAGAGAAGCAGAGCTTCACGTTAATCTCACACAATTGGCCGAAGCTAAGAGCTTCATTTATATTTCTCTGCTCTTTCAGCTGTAAGTGGAATTTTCATTACAAAATGAAGGGTGGGAAGGGAAAAAGGTGGGAGGACACTTAATTCATTACAGAATTTAAAGACTTCAACTTGCATGGTTACCACTTCTAACACAGGGTTGACAGCTCCATTGTTTTAAGTAAAGCAGAGAAATGTAAAAGTTTGCAGCAACTGGGCAGGTTTACAACATGGTTAGTAACTTCCAACAAACAACAAAATTAAGAAGAAAGGGGGAAGACTTGGTAGGAACCATTTGAAATGACGGCCATCATGTTGGAGAACAGCACAGCTCCTCCTCGATCAGAGAGGGGTTGAGTTATGAAGCAGAGTCAGAGACTACAAAAGTATTTTCTAAAGAAAATTCTCCAGGGAGATTCCAGCCTGGAGTCCAAATTTGATGATCAATTTCAAATAACAAAACAACTGCAACTGCCAATTAATAGCATTTCCAAAAACAGAGAACCCTTGTAAATATTTAATTAATAAAAACTGGACACTAGCAGCCATGCTTTTTCTTCTCAGTGATGGCTCTGTTTCATCCATAGGTCAGCAAAACAAATCAATGAACATGAAAATTCCCAGCTGAAAGGGGACCTGCTCAGTTATGTCTTGCCACTAACACACATGATGAGAATGACAAGTTAAAGCTATTTCCAGCAAGTGACAAGGTTTTATTAAAGTATCACCCACCAACAGTCGAAAACAAAGGTCTGGGAAGAAACAAATGACTGTGTAATACACATCTGAGCAGCGCTGCGGCACTTGTGCCCCCATGCCCATCTCCCCTTCACTTCCAAAGGAGCCTGGCACATAAGTTTAGTAAAGATCACTTTCAAGTGATGGGCACTGCTTGGTTTTAAAAAAGAAATTCAACATAAAAGTAGTTATTTTTTAATAGTGACATAAATTTCTGCAGAAGACTCCACTGCTGCCTGAGTTGGGGTGAGTACCTTAATGAAACCATTACCTTCTAGTAACATCATTAGCTTTCCAAACAAGGTGAGAATGCAAGTGAAGACTTGGGTCTGCACCCTTCACAGAACAGCACAATGTTACCAACTCCCAGTTTCCACCAGTGTATACAGGTGTCTTAAAAGTAAATGCTGACCCATGGCTGAAACCTGTCACTTTTCACAGCAGCACTCAACGAGAACTGGGACAATCGGAGAGCGAGTTTTTATGGGGATCCTGTTGCTGCTTTAGATTCTGATATGATTGAAGAGGAAAGGAGAACCTTTAAGGAATTCCAGAAAAACTGCTAATCCTCTATCTTCATGAAAAAAGTCAAGGAGTGAACACAGAGTCTTACAGAGTGAAGAAGGCCACAAGAACAAAAGAGGGTGATTGATTAATTTATTTTTCTTTAACTTGGAAATTCGTAAACTAAAATAATTTACAATCTTCCTTCCCCATCTTTGGGTGGTGCCATCATTTTAATAAGCAATGCTGGGATAACAGAATGTAAGTAACCTTGTCATGGGGACGCCCTTGTACAACTGGAGTACAAAGAGCTTACAAAGTAGACTGAGTCAAACTGACAATCATCTTTGCTTTGTTTTAGCAGCTTGCTTACAAATGAATGGGTTTCTAGGGCTAAGTTATTATTAGTTTTCGATTCCTTGAAATTTGATACCAAAACATATCAAAAATAATAAGCTAAAACAATATTCAAACCCATATTTTATTGGCTTTAATTACACAATCCATTATTTACAAAGTTAAGGTTTAAATGAAAAGTTTCTACTGTATTTAAAAAAAATTCACTACAGCCCAAATTAAAGTGCCCTGGGGCAAGCACATATCAATCAGCTACGAATCAGTGACTGCATCAGGAACCAGGCAGTACTCTGTGTTACAACAAAGCAGTTTATTTGTGATCAGTGTTAAGACTCTATACATCCTTCACAAATTTAACTTTACATAATCTGATACTCTCTTAAAACGTCAACTTTGAGCTGCTAGACTTACTTCCCTACAACAAAGGGGCTGGTATAAATTATTTCCAGGAATGAGGTACCATTTCACAGAACTGGTTTCTTTTTGTTTGTTTTCAAGTTTTAGAGAACTGATTTTGCATTTGTTAAAATCAAAAAGTAGGAAAGATGTTCTTTACAAATAATTTTGATCAAGTATGTGTTCAAAGAAAGCAGGATAAAAAGGCTTTTTTCTCTAGCATTCTGCATTGTACTGCATTGTTCAATAGGAATGAGCTTCCATCATTTGCTAAAAGAATGAGTAGTGGGGAACAGGATATGTTGGGAATTTCATAACGGGTAACAGAACCATTCTCTTGGGCAAACCTACAGAGAAAAGAAACGGAGAGGACTCTAATAAAAATTTCAGGTTAAAAATTTCTTACAATAATTATCATTAACCATTTCCAGATCAGTCAGTCCACTTCATACCATTTTGGAAAGGGCCCACAAATCTCTCACAAATCGATTGCTCTCCCATATTGATATATAATGTTTTCTGCTCAGAAGTAAAAAGCCCCATATCATAGAATGATACTCAGAATGACATCTGAGTATACAGGCATGAATTCAAATGATCAAAAGCAATGCTAGTGATTTAACATTTTTGTCCTACAGTGATTCTGGAAATGCATATGGCACATGACATATTAAAGGAAAAATATGTCAAGATATAAGGCTTTCTGTGCAGGCCTCAACTCCCAGAACAGCAGCTCCAACCAGAGCCACTACCAGGTGTTTGTCTTCTCAGTGGTTGCCACTGATTTTGGCATGGCAAATCTGGAAAGATTAATTGTTTTCTTAATTTGTAATTAATACGTTCTTGTGGCCTCACAAACTCCTGCATACTAAGGAGGATTTGAAGTCTGGCTCTGTCCTTATGCTGATGTTTACCCTAGGAGAAATCACAAAGCAGCAACAGCAGGTACTCAAGAGCACCAGATGATCAGAGGAGACAACCCCACATGCAACAGCTTTACAAAGGCCAAAAGACATATTTACCTACAGCCAAAAATAAAGCACTGTTTTAGGAGATTTGCATCACAGTAACATTGAAAACCAAATCTTTTATGTGAAAAATGGGGCATCAAATTACACCAGCTTTGGAAGTCAGTTATATGGCACATGAAAGAGAGGAGCCTTCTGAGGCTCAGAGGCCACAGGGTGAAAGAATGTTAAGGACCAGAAAAGAAAAATTAAAAAGACTGAGGAAAAACATGGATGTAACTGAAAAGTCTAAAATCAAAACTTTTTAAAGAAAAACTCTCTAGCAACGCTTTAACAGAATTCATCTTGTTATTATATGACTCACACAGACTCAGATATAGCAAATTAAGTCATGAGTACTGTGTCTAGGTTAACCAACTGGCCCCAATCTGGCAGGATGAGGTGTTCAGGACATTAAGAAGCTAGAGAAAGGGCAAACACCAACGGTCGAACAAAAAAGAGCCAGTCTGAATTCAGAAGGAAACATAGGTCCATATATTTGGACTAGCCCTGAACCCCCATATCCGGGATTAACTCTAGCTCAGAATATGGGAAAACCTGGGTCACATGAGTGTGCCAGAGAACACAACCAGGCAAAGTCTAGGCTCTGTATTGTGCCCAAACAAAACTTCCTGCACATGTTTGACCCTTGACAAGCTATTCAGAATCTACACTTCAATACAGCAATGTCTTAAAGACCTATAATTGTCATCAAAACAAAAATGGTAAAGCTGATATGTGAAGAGAAAAGGCACAATGTGAAGGTCTGAGCTCATGTAGAGGATTCATGCCACAGACAGCGATGCATGGAGGACCTTTACCTTCTGTGTGCATGCACACCTCATTTGGGGCTATGTGGAGACACAGACTCACTCCCCCCCCCCTCCCCACCTCTCACTAGCAAGCATCCTATAAATGGTGGTTGATTCCATAACATATAGCACCTGAGTTACGGAAGATGTCTAAGAGCATATCACTGACTCCAAACCTACTGCCTCCATTGCCACATAAACCTCATTCAAAAGTTATCCAAAGGGCCATTAGGGTTCATTCATGTATCTGCTGGTATTTTTTATTTTGAAAAGAAGCAATATGCCTAGAATTTTCTAGCATCAGCTACTGACTTTCTGCAAAAGGAACAGGTAACATTGGCAACAAACCCATCATCTTTGTGGGACCAATGACATCTATCTATTCCCAAAGCAAAATGTATAGCAAACACTAATGGGTACAAATTTGAAGTGAGGACTTCCTTTTCTTAATTCAGATCACTCACATTCATAAAGTTCCATACAATGAAATGAACAATGTGGCCTCATAACTGGCAGGCAGCCGGGCTAGAAAATATGTGTGGGCCCTTCAGTAGCCTTTGAATGGAGTATAGGCTGGCTGTAAGAAGAATTACTTCAAATATTTAATTCCAATATGGTCAGAAACAGGCAATAAGAACAAGCAGTTCTCCAGTCAGGCAAAGCAGAGAGAAGAGCAACTTCAACCAAACCAAGAACCACAAGGTTGTGGCATTTTCAGAGGGAATTTAAGTTGGGCCACTAGAATGCTTAGATCTGAGATCCTCCAACTTGTTTACTGAAACCCTGGTTACAAACTATGTTTTGGGTTGCCGTAAAAAATTTTGCTAAGAAGAAGAATCAGTAGGAAGGCATACATACCATATGCAGGAGCAGCTGTGCTGTAACCATATGGTGTTCCGTAACCTGGAGGGAAGAAGACGACAGCAATTAATCCAGGCCCAGTTTTCATACACCACCTGCAGCACCCCAGACTCTGGAAAGCCAAGAGCACTCTACAGGGTAATCCCAGTTCTGCTTAGTTGCAGAAGCCTCACACTATGGTCGACAAGAGATCTCCTTAACTTATATCTTTCTCCTCCCCTCTTGTTCTGTTTATTTGCACTCTCTGCTCCTCTTCCTTCCCTTCTTCCTTCCCTCCCTCTTTCTTCTCTTTCCCACTACCCTCCATCTGTAATTCTACACTGTACTATAACTTATACTTTTCTCTATGGCCCACTAAAGTAGAAGAGATCAAATCATATCTTTGTATCACCTAAACCTAGCAGAATAAACAGCATTTGCTAACCAAATACTTAGAACCACAGCAATTACCAATTTCACAAAGATGGAACACACAACTTTCCATGGGTTCTTTTAGAAAATAGTGACAGAGCATGCTGCAGCCTCAGATGCCCTGAAGAACATGTATGGGTCAGGTCATGAGCCCAATGATAAGATCCATGACATAAAGGGATCTGAGTGCCTAGCCCCAGGACACAGAGTCTCCCCAGACAAGTTAGTAACCTGATATACTAGTGTCTCTTGCCAATTTAAAAAAAAAAAAAAACTGATTATAATAAGTAAAAGCTACTAAGAACATAAATGTTTTTGAGCGATGTTAATCCTGGCACTAACTACTAACACATCCTTAAACAAAGGAGCACCTAATTTGACATATTCCTATATTTTATTTTAAAGATTTATTATTTATTATATGTATATGAGTGCTCCATCTGCATGCACACTTGCATACCAAAAGAGGGCATCATGTCCCAGTATAGATGATTGTGAGCCACCATGTGGCTGACAGAGCAGTGTCTTAACCACTGGGCCATCTCTCCAGCCGCATATATTCCCATCTTTTAAATGGGAAAACTCAAGCTTCTTATAGCATTGTTGTAAGCACCATATTAACAAAAACTGCAATTTCTCATCTTTCTGGAAAAAAAAAAAAAAACCTTAAAAGTATAAATATGAAATGATTTGGCCAAGACCCAGAGGACCTGCTCTTGACTTGGTGGTGCACACTAGTAACCCAGCACCACAGATGCTGATGCATGTGGTCAAGTTTGAGACCAGCCTAAGCTTCACAGAGTAAGGTTCCAGGGCATCCTAAACTATGAATCAAGATCCTGTCTCAAAATAATACATAGAAATAAAGCAAGCTGGGCATAGAAACAAAGCAAGGTGGTATACACTTTTATACCACCTTGGGAGGCAGAGGCAGGGGGATCTCTGTAATTCAAGGCCAGCCAGGACTATGGTGAAACCCTGTATGGAGGTACACTGCATGCACCTTATATCAATCCCTACTGAAATTTACATTTTTCGCTTTATATCACAACTATTTGTTCTCTAACGATGTATGCTTACGCTGCTTAGAATGACTCATCGTGATTAGCATCAAGTATCAACTCTCCGGGACCCACTAGGCCACAAGCTAGACCTTAGTCACCTTTGCTCAGTTTTTATAAAGCACTCAAGGACATGCCAGAAAGATGACCCCTCTTCACTTTGTGGTCTAATATAGACTCTCTTAAACTGGGGACAGTATACTCAATCACAGTACACACTAAACTGTAGATTTCAATAGTACACAATACAGCTAAGAGAAACAAAGAAAAGCTAAGTAGCACAGGCCAAAATAAAAATTAATGATTTTTAAGTCTGTGTCTTCTTTCATATTTCATAAACATATTCTAGGAAATGAGAGCTATTTCCTTAAGCTACAATGCCAAAGGTTTTATTAAAACCTACTAGTTACCAGTTACTACTAGTTACTAGTTACTACCAGTTAAGTTGGCCATTAGGATTCTAATCCTGACCTTTAACTAGCAAGGTATCTCTGAGTTAAACTTAAGACTCTCTGAGCAGCTAAGTGGGCAGGGGTAGGTAAAGTACATGTAAAAACACCTATTCCAACCCCCGGTGAACATAAGATACTCCACAAATGATAGAAATTCATTCAAGATCTAGATTAACCTAAAACTAATCCTTTCTTGCTGTTTCAGTCTGGTTTTTTCAGCTTCAGAAGACAGGCCTTGTAGAGCGGTCACAGTAACAGCGTAAGACAAACAAAAAAGGCGCAACACGCAGGGCACAGACATCATCCCTCTCCATCATCACTGTACTAAATATGGCGGTAGAACCTTCAGGCAGGAAGCAATTGACAATGACAGATGCTATGAGCACCAAAGGAACACACCACAAAAAAACAGACTCATCTCAGTAAGTACCCATTACTGAATAAGCCTAAAGCTTTTAATTTTTAATAAAGAGATACACAGAAATGTACCTTAATGTTGGACATAAACTGAATTGATGTACATGCCTATTTTCTTTCACATACAGTTTAGCATTCATCGCATGCAAAGGCACAATTACCCCCCTCACCTGGTTCATCTGGCTAATAACCTTGCCAGGGCCCTTTAAAACTTCCTTCTTCAGTCTAAGTACGTCACGTATGAACTATGTTGCTTCCTGTAATTTGTTCACATCTTGTCACCCATCTATACTCTCCCCTCATTTCCCAGTTTCCATCCACTGTCTGCTATATGGGCAACACATCTGCAATAGCCTTCCAGCTTGTGCCATGATGCTCACATCTGTCGTTATTTAATCTTTACACTATAGAAGGAGTAATATTTATAAGTAACATCTAATTTTGCCTTTCTCACCTTCAAACCCTTGATGACTTCCCACTATACTTAAAGATTCGAAGACAAAATCCAAGCCATAAATCAGAATGTAAGTCATCCCATGTGGGAAATGAAGAAGCCAAAACTATATAAAGTACTCTTTTCTGAGATAGTTAAGGCTCCCTGCCTTTTGGGAAAATCTCCAATAAACTACTGCCTTCAGAAGAGCCTCATTTCGCTAATCAGCGAGCCTACAATAGTAGTGTCTATACACATGGAATTTGTTCCTCCACCCCAGTCTTCTCAGTTAACACGTACTAACTCTCCACATCGCATTCCAGTGCCAATGCTTCAGGAAAGTCTTCATGGACCTGCCAACTAGATCTGTTACAGCCTCATGACATGATTCCATCTCCTCCCTCAGATACTGCTCAGTTTAAGTTTTGTTGCTTGCTTACCATGCCTCACCTTCCACACTGTAAACAGAACAAGAGGAAAATCTATGGTACGTTTCAAAGCAAGAAACTCTTCATTAGACATTTCATCCAGAGATGTAACCAGAACGAACTCGTAATTCCAAAGAGGCATTGTTCATAAAACTTCCCAAATGGCAACATGCATATTGAAGCAACTCTAAGGAGCTCTAGAATTAAGACTAGAGTAAAACCAAATCTTCATATAAACTTCATTTTAGTCAATAAATACAAATGATTTTGTCAAGTGAAATTTTTCACTGCTCTACCACTACAAAGAACGTCACTTTAACAAGGCAGCTCAGCCTGACCAAGTGGAACACACCTTTAATCCTAGCACTCAGGAGAAAGATGTAGGTAGATCTCTTGAGTTGGAGGCCAGCCTAGTCTACAGAATGAGTTCCAGGACAGCCAGGGCTACACAGGGAAAAAATAGATAGATAGATAGATAGATAGATAGATAGATAGATAGATAGATAAATCAAGAAAAAAAAAAGAAAGGAAAAGAAAAGAAAAACAAGCCGGCTGGATATTCATGGCTAAAACAACATATGGATTTAAACAGAAGGCAGAGAAGGGGGCAGCTTTCTGGATCTTCCTAAGCCATGTGGTGAAACAAAAGGCCAACAACGTCAAGAATGCTAGTATCTGTATCGAAGTCATTACTATGCTGCTTACTTCACCCAGACCTGGCTACTTTACCTGAAAATTAACTTCTACCCAACGAAACACTAAGGATTAAGAACAAGTAAAATAACTTACATGGAAGTACTTGGCTCTGGATAAATAAGCTGTATTGACCCGAAATTCCCTAATAAACACACACACACACACACACACACACACACACACACACACACACTTTTCTCTTTTTTGTGTTGCATTTCTTTTCTTTGGCTGTTCTCAAATACTGAATTTCACAAATGCTAATTAATCCAGGATTCACCTCTATTAAGAAGCTCCACAGCAATTCTGGTAAGCCAAGAATGATTGTGATATCTTCCACAGACTACACCCTGCTATGCTGTCCAAGCACCATAACTTATGCATTCCTTATAACTTACAGATTCCTGTCAAAATTTGTCCCTCCATAGGCTTGTCTTTCTTCTCCCTTCAGAAAGGCTATAATTACTCTGTCAAGCCCTGCTGAAGTTGAATATGTTCCTCTTACACAGGGACAGTATAGCCAAAGACTTTCACATAAAACTTTAGAGAATGAGGAAATGCTGTTCTTGAGGCGGGGAATCAAAGAGGCTATTTGACCTTTAGCAAGTGACACTAACCTGGAGCTATATAGCCGGGAGCTGCTGTAGCCCCCACGAAGGCTCCCCTTGTCAGAGCTCCTCTTCCTCTGCCCCGAACTGCCTGGACTGCTGCAGATACTGCCGTATTCACAACACCCTTTGCCTGTAATAACATCAATAATAATTTCATCATAGAGAGAAAGAACTCTCAACCTCTCATCTCCTTATGGCACTTTAGCTGAGACAGTATGCCATCTATGGTTAGACTCTTCAAATCGATCATGTGCAAAAAAAGAAATGACACTTACCTTAAAGAACTTTTCTGAAGAATATGCTGAACACATGAAAATATTTGAGTAACTATGTTTCACTGGTGGGTTACCCGGGAAATAGTTAACATTCGATACACAAATATGAGTGGTCAAATTACACACAAAGTCATTTTAGGTCTGACTAAAGTAATTATAGGCACCTGAAAACATTGTTATAAAAATTTCCACCCAGAAGCAGAAAATACTCCAGCAATAAACTACCTAGAATGACCTTTGAACTTGAATGGGGTTTAAGGAAAGAAAAATAAATAAAAACAAAAGAACAGACTAAGACAGGAAGACCAAAGATGCAGGCGCCAGTCCCTAATCTATGACTTTATGCGGTCCTGGGATTTCTTTGAGCCTGTTTCTTCTGCCCTATGAATACATGTGCTTGTGTCTGTGTGTATTAATCATTAAGTAAAACGGTACTTGGAGCCCCAACTTGCTTCAAATGCCAGGTAACACTGATGACATCACATCATCTCTCTCAGTCAATCTCCACTATTGATTATAAAATAAGGATAAGACCTACTTTGTTTCTCTTATAGTAGAAGCAGCAATGGGTAAACAGACAGACATCAACATGCTCTTTCACCACATGAAACATTTCAGAAAATCAAGTTCTGTCTAGTTTCAAATACTATATATACTTTTTCAGTACAAAAATGCAATAAAAACTCAAGCTCAGGAGAAATGGGGGGACACAAAGTATCACCTAGAGACTACTAGGATCCCCCAAAGGCAAAGCACACAGCAGGTGACACCAAGCTTTAAGGCACGCCGTCTGGTAAGCTCTTCTCACATGCAAGAACCACACCTCAGCTCGGACTAGCCATAAGAAACTTCCAAGGTAAAATGGATGTACACACAGCCACTTCTCTTTTTGCTGAAATTAGCCAAGTCATACATAAAATATTGCTTCTTGGCTACTAAGCACATGAATTTTATGGCTTCTAGTGTGGCAATTGTCCAAAAATGAGTTAATTTTTTTTTTAAACACACAGTCTAGCTCAATGTAATCATATTTGACTGCAGGGTCAGATCTAGTTTATGTTACCACCAACAAACTTCATTATCTAATAAATATTTAAAGATTAATTTATTTTATTTTGAAAGAACAGCATGTGTGCATGTGTGTTTGTGTGTACACTACATGTACACTACTGGTGCCTGTGGAGGTCAAAAAACAGCATTAGGTTCCCTAGAACTGGAACCACCAAGAAGGTGCAGGGAACCAAATACAAGTTGTCTTCAAGAACAAGTTTTAACTACTGAGCAGTCACTGCTCCAGCCTCTCAATACAGGCTTTGTAAATACTAAAATATGGGATGCCTCACATGGGAAAAACAAAACAAGCTGATAATGATCTTTCTATTTAATCCAGAAAAAGAACTGAAAAAAATCTTATTTTGTACATGTAGACCTCTATAATTTAAATACTATTTAATCATAAATTCTACTTATTTTTGTTAGTTTTCTCTGCTTACATGCTGAATCCTTAAATATAAGTAGTGTTAATTATAACTGATGAAAGAAATTTAAGTGAATACAAATGTACAAATGTCCAGGTGGATGAAACATGCAACAAAATGTCAATGGCCTTTTGCAACAGAACCCCTGATTTAAAGGGGATTCTGTCCCTGCTCTCTGCTTCCTGACGTGGCTACACTGAGCCAGCCAACACCTCCTCCTGCCATCATGCCTTCCCCACCCTAATGAGATAGACCCCTGATGAGTCAGAGTCACATGGAAAGCCCTCAACTGCCATCTGAGAATGTTTATGGAGAAGTTACTACACTTGAATAAAAAAGGCACCAGCAGCAGTTACCCCTCTGGCCCCTGGATTAGTCAGTTGCTAACTAGATGATCTCAAATATCAATTCCAGAGACAAGACTCACCTTAAACAACCATAAATTAAAATCACTGCTGTTTTTACTTTGTACCTATTTACGGATTCATTAGGCCCTAAGTTTGTTAAGCCCCCACCAACAGGGTCATTGCTAGACAATTGCAGAGCACCCTCTCCCTCTCGAAGACAATGCCTGGAAAACTTAGGCAGCCAATCTCACTGTACAACAGTTTCAAATTAGATCCCAAACCAAGGAAAATACATTTTCTACTGCCTAATAGGAATTACCTACTCTTCCATTTTCAAAGCAAGAGACTTCAAAAAATAGTTACAATCAAGAAAATTAATGTGTATTCTAACATAAGAACATCTAGCATTGCAGAGTACAGAAGGGAAGCTGTGGGATCAGGGGATGGCAATGACAGTAGAACAAGTCCAACTGTTTCTCTGACTCAAAAACTAAACTTTTTCCCTATTATTTAGGGAACCCTGTAAATAATAAACCCAGTAAATACAGGGTTCCATTTAATAAGTGTATAACACTGGGGAGCTGGAGAGATGACTCAGAGGTTAAGAGCATTGGCTACTCCTCCAGAGGTCCTGAGTTCAATTCCCAGCAACCACATGGTGGCTCACAACCATCCATAATGAGATCTGGTGCCCTCTTCTGGCATGCAGGTGTACATAATAAATAAATATTTTTTAATGTGTAATAAATAAATCTTTTTTTTTTTTAATGTGTAACACTGGTATCACTGTAGTTTATATAGTTCAACCAGAAAAGCTTTCTTAAAAAAAAAAAAAAAAGCCTATCCTGTATTATACAAGGTGGCTGTGGGGTTATGGGAACCATGCTAACCCTGCTTGTGTTACAACTGAGTTGGATGGCAGTAGACTGGGAGGAACTCTACCTACTAGGAAATCCATTTGCCATGTAGCAGCAATCTCACTTTAACTACAATTGTTGTTAAGTCCAGGGGGTTAAAAAGAAACTAGTGATTGTCCCACTTCTGGAAGGCTAGAGTAGAGGACCATCTATAATCTCAGAAAAAGAAACAGAAACACAGTTCGGTTAATCTTTCTTCCACAACCTCCACACTTTCTCATCAGCCAGAAATAGTTACAGAGGAAATAAATGATGAGTGACATCTACGAGAAATAGAATAGAGCTGAGCATGGTGGTGTGTACCCAGAATCCCAATACTTGTAGGCCGAGGCAATAGAATCCTAAGTTAAAGATAGGCCTGTTAAGTTAAATCCTGGCAAGTTCTATGGAAAGAGAACTTGTCTCAAAAATCCAACCTACCAGTCAACAAACCGACCCAGCTACCTTCCCAAAGCAAAGCTAAATGAAAAAAAAAAAGTAGAAGAAATATTTAACAGTGAGGAACTGAAGGAACATGGAATTACTACCAAGATTTTCTCAGTTGTTCTCTCTGTTTATGTTAAATTTCTGAGCACAGGACTGATAAACATCCTGAGAAGCCAAAGAAGACTGGGCTCCAGGCAGCAATTTTCTCAACACCAAATGGAAGCAGCCTGTATCCAGAATTAAAGCCGCAGCAGAACTTTCCAGCACCTATAACTTTGCTGTGCCAAGGACCTCCGGCTTCTCTTCTTTCTTGTCTACACAGAGTAACCTAGGAGTACTAATGTTCCTTGGAGCACATTTCTTACATTGTTTTTCTTTGTAAAGCCACACAGAAAATATAATTGCTTTTCCTATTTCATCATTTAAAAGGAAGAGGGAGACAAATTTGGGTTTGGGGTTTTTTTTTTGTTTTGTTTTGGACCAGGCTAGCCTTGAACTCAGAAAGATCCACCTGCATCAAGTACAATGGGTTCCACTGTCTCATTTTACATATACTTTGTTTTTCCTTGATCCTTTCCCCCTAATCTCCTCTTCTCCTTCACCCAGTGGTGCCTTTGACAGGGATCTTCTATATCAACTAAACATTTAACTACCTAATTAGTTTTTTAATTTCCTCCTCTGTAAATGTGATGGTACTCTACCCTCCTATAATGAACCTTCCATATGTAAAATAATCTAAATATAATGTTTCATTGAAGCTCCAATAGTCTAAGTTTCATTGATTAGTCTAAACAATGTATTTGTTTCTACCACATAATGTATTCAGACATTAGGATCACCACCAGCACTCACTATGAGGTTGACAATGTGTCTAACATTTTACACACAGTATCTTTTTCCTCATAATTATGTACATAACTGAGACCTAAAACATGTCTAAAAATGTCTTCGTGATACAAAAATGAAGGGGTGGAAAAATCTTACACTAATACATATAATTAAAGAAGCTACCTTTTCCAAATACCTTATAAAGATCCTGGTCCTTTAGTGGTATGACACTCCCAAAGCAGAAGTCATGTTTTGTGCTACAGACACACCACACACACACACGCACACACACGCACACACACACATGCACGCACACAGTCAGTCTCTGTCTCTCTGTCTCTCTGTCAATGTAGAAGGACAAGATAGGTAAGAGTAAAATGGTACAAGCTCTGGGTAGTCAGGCAGTGACCTGAACTTGACAAATGTTCATATTACAAAGCCCAAATCACCTCTACTACTTACTGTACCAACAATGATTTCACACTCCACAAAATTTATCAGTCCTGTGCTCAGAAATTTAACATAAACAGAGAGAACAACTGAGAAAATCTTGGTAGTAATTCCATGTTCCTTCAGTTCCTCACTGTTAAATATTTCTTCTACTTTTTTTTTTCCATTTAGCTTTGCTTTGGGAAGGTAGCTGGGTCGGTTGGTTGACTGGTAGGTTGAATTTTTGAGACAAGTTCTCTTTCCATAGAACTTGCCAATCTTTAACTTAACAGGCCAATTTTATGGGCATAAAACAAAAGCCCACTGAAAAGAGAAGTACTATCTTAATATACATTATTCACAACCTATCCCAAAGAGAAAGCTGCCAAGTCTTAAGAATAAACAATTTTAGCTATTGTGGGGTGGGTCACCTTTAATCCCAGCACTCTGGCGGCAAAGGCAAGCAGATTTCTGTGAATTCAAGAGCCTGGTCTATAGAGAGGTAGTTCCAGGACAGCCGGGGCTACAAAGAGAAACCCTACCTTGGAAAAAACAGTAAACAGACAATTTCACACACACACAAATAATAAAAATAAAACAAAACAAAAAAACACTAAAATAGCACATAAACAAACTTGAAGGCAGAAATTGCAGGAGCATTTCAACAGATGCAGAATAGGCTTTTTGACAATGTTCAACATCTCTTTATGAGTTTAAAAAAAAAAATTCCACCTGACTTGCCTTGGGCTGGGACCTCTAACTGCTATGCTAAGGTAACAATGGGCCACTTCTCACCTCAACAGTACAGAACAACACAGAGCATAACCTGTGCCTCATCCAAGCAGTACAATGAAGCTCGCCTTTGTGGCAGAGGTGTAGGTGAGCCAGCCCCAAAGGCCTGACTGCGGGAAAGCTGACTCTGATACTGTCTGCCATGAGGCAGCCTACGAGGTTGTCTGAGCTTGGAGGTGATGGTCCCTTCCTTTGCAACCTAACAGAGAACTGTCATTGGGTTGTGACAGCAAGAAAGCAGCTCTGCACTTTGCCTGGGCAGCACAGTAGAATGGGCCCTGGTGTAGGTCACTCAGGTAAGCCAGCCCCAAGAGTGTGAGCATGGGAGAGCTTACACTGATGGCAGCATTGGATGCCCTAGCTGAAGCAGTGCTGGAGAGCTCACCCTAGTGGTGCGGATAAACACCTAGGCCTAGATTCAGACCTTTGACTTGGCCCACTCCAAAATCTACATCATCTGTGAACTGTTGGGGTGTGAGAAAGAACTGGTCCTGCTAATCCAAAGCTGCAGGATCGCCATGACACAGGGCAACAACAGGATAACTAGGAGGAGGCCAAGAGAGGATCCAATATTGATAGTGTGATAGAAGCCAGAAACCTCAAACCAGACCAATGAGTCACTGCGATGAACATTCACAAGCGAAGATGTGTGGACAGAGGGACATACTGTGGGACACACTGTGACACACTACAGTTTCCCCAACGAGACGGTTTTTCTGTTTGGTTTTATTTGTGTGTTTTTTATTTTTTGGGGGGGAGGCTGTAAGGGTAGAGGGTGGATCCAAGGGGATGAGAATGAGCGGGACTGGGGTGCATAATGTAAAACTCACAAAGAATCAATAAAAAGCTAAAAAAAAAAAGAAAAAAAAAAGTTCCAGAAGAGGGCCAATGAATTGGCTTAAGCAGGTAAGGGTGGCTGTACTGATCCTACTGACCCAAGTTAGAGATTCAAAGCCCACATTGTATAGATACAACAGAACCGATTTCTGCAAGTTATTCTATCTTCACAAGCATGCCTTGACAAGTATGTCTCCCACCTCAAAGAAACTAGGAATAGAAAGAACATACCTCAATGTAACAAACGCTATATACAACAAACTTAGAGCTGACATTATTCTAAACATGAAAAAAATCAGAAATGAGATGTATGCCTATTTTTTCTGTTATTTAATACAGTGCTCAAAGTCCTACAACAGGAAGGAAATCAAATTAACTTGTTTGCAAACAACAAGATCATATCTATACTTAAAAGACCCAAAAGATATCACCAAAAAAAGGTTAAATCTTATAAACACTCTCAGCAAAGTGACAGAATACAAAATTGACAAATAAAAATTAGTAACTTTTCTACATAAAAAACAAATTTGCCAAAAAAATATCCAAATTCTAAGTTACTAACTTAAATACCTACAAATAAATCTAATCAGAGCTTAACAATCTCTCAGTGAACTATAAAACTAGAAATATTGTAATAGCTCATTTCAACCTACACTATGGAGCCATAGTAATAGCAACCACATGGTACTAGCACAAAACAGGGAAGGATCAAGGGACTAAACTAGAAGATCTAGAAATAAGTCTACACAGCTAGAGCCACTATGGTTTGACAAAAGTGTTAAAAACAAACATTAAGAAAAGAAAAAGACAATCTCATCAACAAAGAAAAAGGATACCCATGTAGAGGAATGAAACTAAGGACCAATCTCTCACCCAGACAGGAAACAAATAAACAAACAAAAACCTATAATGGATCGAAGACCTTAAAGAAAGATCAGAAACTCTGAAACTGCTAAGGGAAAAACATTTGACAATACAGGAGTCAGCAATGGCTTTCTGAAAGGAGCTCCAATGGTATAGGGAATAAAATCAAAGAATAGGCAAAAATGGGGTTGCATGAGATTAAAAACCTCCCACTACACAGGGAAAAAAAAAAGTTATCAAAATGATGCTAAGGCAGTGTGCAGAATGGAAGAAAAGTCTTGGCCAACTGCACACCAGACAGAAAATTATTGGTAAAGAACTCCAAAAATTAAATTAAAAAAAAAAAAAAAACAATTTCACTCAAAAAAAAGACTAATAAAATGGAATAGACAGTTCTCAAAGGAAAAATATAAATGGCCATCAATGTTTCAAATAACATTCAACACATTCTTAGCCATCAGAGAAAACAAAGATAAATACACTGAGGTTCCATCTCACCTGAGTCAGAAAATCTATTGTCAAGAAAACAGGGCTGGATGCATAGATAAGTGGTGGAGTGTTTGCCTACCATGCCCAACCAAGGTCCTCAGATTTACCCACCAGTATGGTCCCACCACCCTAGAAAACACACATACAAACAACAAATTCTAGCAAAAATGTAAATTAAGAATCCTTATAACAGGGCTTGGAGAAATGGCTCAGCAGTTGAGGGCACTGGCTGTTCCCCTAGAGGACTCAACTTCAATTCCCAGCATCCTCATGGCGGTTCACAACTGTTTATAACTCAAGTTCTAGGGAATCCATAGCACTAGGTATACACATGGTACACATATATATGCATGTAGGCAAAATACCCATACACATAAAATAATATTCTTTTAAAAGAAGATTCTTTATTTGCTACTGGTGGAAATGTAAATTTTGTATACATACACAAACACAACCAGGGAGGAGGATATTTTATTTAGCTGTAGAGAAGACAAAATTATGGTATCTCCAGAAAAGTGCATGGAACTGGAGGTCATTATGCTACACAAAGTAAGAACACTGAGAAGAAGAAAAGGTACCAGCAATTGGGGAAGAAAATTGGAACAGAGATGGCAATGGGTTAGGAGAAAAACAAGTACAATGACAAACATGTATAAAAATGTCACAATGAAACCCATTACCTTATATATCAACTGAAAATATGGTAGGGGGAGGGAAATGGCTCAGCAGTTAAAGAGTGCTTACTGCTCTGAGTTTGGTTACCTGTATCTACTTCTGGTGGCTACCAACTGCCTATACCACCTGCAACTCTCCCTTCAGAGGATCCCACACCTTCATCTGGGCTCTGTAGGTACCTGCACACATGTGGCATGCATTCAGAGAGAGACTCAAATAAATATGTAGCCCTGATTGGTTTATAACTTGATACATAGACTAGGCTGACCTGAAATTCACAGGGATCTATCTGCCTGCCTCACTTCCCAAGTACTGGGTTTAAAAAAATTAAAATTTAAAACAGCAAATAAGCAGGAAATTTGAGAGTATTACAAAGGTTGCTTAACTCATACCTGAGGAATGATCTTCTTTTTTTTGTTATTTGCTGCATTGGGTCCAGAAAAGAGCTTCTCCAGGGCAGCTAGTGCCGCACTTGCCTTGGCCACTTTCTTGTTTGGGCCTGCACCTCTGAATTTCTGTCCATCTACCTCTACCTAAGATTTAAGAGAGCATGTATGTTATCTCAGACAACTCCCTCCGTGTGCTTTTAATTCCAAGACATCACAGGGCTGGAGAGACAGCTTAGCTGTAAGAGCACTTGATGCTCTTGCAAAGGACCAACGTTCAACTCTCAGCACTCACACTGTGGCTCACAACCATCTGTAATTCCAGTTTCAGGGGATCCAACAGGCAAACCAATGATATACATACACATACACACATGCAGGCAAAACAGAAAATAAATCTAAAAAAAAAAAAAAAATGAGTTTTTTTAAAAAATACATGAAGAAGAAAATACTGAAAGCCAAATAATGTTCTTACAATAATAAAAGCTTAATGAAAGTCTAGAATGCTTTTTACTGTCTGATGTCTGTGAGAAAAAAAAAAAAAAAATAAGGTGGGCATATATCTAGGTACACACCTCCATTACAAAGCGCTTGTCATGGCTTCCACCAGTCTCTGAGATGAGTTCATACTTGAGACCTCTTCTTTTTTCATTGAGCTCCATCACAGGATTTTTGCCACTTGCTGTGAGGATAGGACCCTGAGTTCTTACCTAAAAGGAACAGAGAAGAAAGACTGAATGAAGACTTCAAAACACTGAATTTCCTTTTGATATCAATATGCTAAAAGGTAAACTCATGAATTCATTTAAAACATTAATTAATTTAAAACTTTAAAACATTTAAGGGCAAAACATTATCAAAGGTGAGGAAACTCTATAAGCAGTAATACTGTAGTCAACTCAACAACCTGCTTTTGAAGCAGGACTGCTGCATTCAAAACTCCAGTGTCTGAGCTATACTGTTCGTGTTCTAACACTGCAAGTAACTAACAAAGCAGAGACTGGAATTTGCTTGATGACTTGAAGGCTCACCATTTTTTTAACTTTAGATATGCAGTCCCTCTAAACTGAAGACCTACTATAAAAATAATAGACTATAGACTATGGATTGTAATTTTAGAAATAACAATAAAGCCAGTTATTCCCTGGTCTCATCACTGTAAAACTGTGTTACAGAGCAGATGCCTACTAGAGAAACACAGGATAAGGGATTACCTTCTGTTTTGAGCTGCTGAGATGAAATCTCACTTTGCAGAGAGCCTTTTTCTCTGTATGTCTGCTATGTGTATGTGCTTCCTTAATACCCAATAAACACCTTTCTTCAAATACATAAAATGTGAGTTCTCGCTATTATTTCAAAGCCAATTCTTTAGAGAGAACACAATTAACAGAAGCTCCTCCTGACACACTGTACATACTCAGTACTTAGACTTATCCTATTCTATTTTCTGGGGCGACTAATTAACAGTCCAGGAATGACTATTATGAAATACACAGTAGGCATTCTATACCCTCCTGTGGGATTCACACATTAAATAGTGAACTTATGCATATCCTCATGTACCTCAGTTTAGCAAACACCTCAAAAAAAAAAAAAGTTTATTCCAGTAGATCTTTTAGGTTTTTATCCTTTGGTTATTACTGAGAGTCTTGACACATTATAATTATGACATTCTAGAAGTAATTTCCATGGCCAGTACGCTATTATATTAGGGTATAACTACTTTTCACATAGGTGTGGTGACATTCTTTTTAGGAGTTCACTAAAGAAGATCAAGGTGTAAAGCTGCATGTAAATGCCTTCATGAATATACTCGAAATAAATCTGGGCACAATAAAGGTCAAACAGCCAAATGTTGTGACAATGCTCCTGTAATCCCAGCATTTAGAATGTAGAAGCAGGAGGGTTACAAGTTCAATGTCAACCTCAGCTATACAGGGTGTTGGAGACTACTAGAAGCCCAGTCTCAAAAATACACAAAACAAAACAAAAAAGCAAATAGAGAGCTCCAGCTGTGGCAGAGTGATGAAGTGTTTGCCTACTGTGCAAAAGATCTAGCACTTGATAACTAGCACCACTCAAAGAAATAAGGCAGAATATTAGTAATACATGCCTCTATGAGTCATATCTCTAAGGTTTTCCACAGTACTCATACTACTTTATTCTTAGGAAGAAAAGGACTCAAGTATACCTCTAAGGTACTGGAGGTCTCAGTTGTAGAATTTCCAGTATTATTGCTTGAGTTTGAAGACACTGTTTCATTTTTGCTTTCATTATCTGATTTTTCATCGGAACTCATACATTCAATATCTGCATCAAAACCTGTTGGGTATCCCATTGCCTGTAAAACCTGTACAAATTCCATTAAAACACATTTTTATTGTTACCAAAATGAAAAAGAACAGCTGAAATTCTGATCAGAAACTTTTAAAATCCATAACACTTAGTTTCCTGAAACCCCTGTGAAGAACAAGAATGGTGCTACATATGTAAGTGCTTGGTCCAGTCCAGGCCACGATCCAGGAGAGCACTGCATGAAAACGGGAACAAGTCCTCAGAGTACCTAGCTTAAAGACTTCAGAAATTCAAGCCTAAAGCTGTTGTTAGTTCATTTAATTCGGAGGTGAACAGTAAAGAGAACATACAGCACAGTCAAACTCAAACAAGGAAAAATGAGGAGGGTCAAATAGCACCTAAAAAAAGAAAGTAAACTAGAAAGAAGACTTAAAAGTTTAATCCTATCACTCTCCTCTGATCTTCAATTTCTCTATCTGCAAAAGAGGAAGACTGGATCAGCAGACTTCTAAATTCTATGACACAACCATGAAGAAAAATTGGCCAAGGGATGGAACTAAGAGCTTTTTGGTATTGCTTTGTCCTGTTGTATTTGGTTGCCTTTGTGTTTTACCTTTAAATCAGTTTGCCTGAAAAACCACAATTTCCAGCTGTGTTCCTTTCTATACATCTCTCTCAAGGTTTCATAGTCTTATAGTTCTAGGGTTTCTCGGTTTTCTAAACAAAGCTTTTACAATGCCTATATGTGTTTGTATGCAAATATGCATGTGTACAAACATGTAAATCAATCTTTACCCTTCCCCTTCCAGATTATACTGCTTTTCCAATAAACAAGAGAATGAATTCACTAGTATCTTTTAAAATAGGTTAATACCAGTTTGTGAGTTATTGATTAAAGCATTTTTGCTTTATTTCAAGGCCTTGCCAGGCTATTACACACTCATCACTGAGCTATTAATTAATGCTTTAATTAAAACACTATGTCCACGGATTTAGCGGTAGAGTTTAAAAGATGAGCTTTCGGTTGCTGGAGTATGTAAGCAATGTGCTATTTCTCCATTACACCAACTGTACTTAACAGGTGACTCAAAAAGCTGTTACAGTGGCCAAATTAAAACACACACACACACACACACACACACACACACACACACACACACACACACACACACCAAAACAGTCTTTGGGGAGCTGGAGAGATGGCTCAGAGGTTAAGTGCACTGTCTGCTCTTCCAGAGGTCCTGAGTTCTATTCCCAGCAACTACATCGTGGCTCACAACCATCTATGATGGAATCTGATGGTCTCTTCTGTCATGCAAGCATGCAAATAGAGTGCTCATATGTATAAATAAATAAATCTTTAAAAAAAATAGCCAAAAAACATTAAAAAAAAAAAAGCAGTCTTTGCAGAAAATGGCACCTGTAGAAAATAGTTTACTAATGTAGATAAAACAGTAATACTCCAAACAAAAGAGGGGGCTTTTAAAAGTTGAACTCTGTTCAAAGCAAATTTGAAATTAACTCATCCAATTCACATATGGGGAACCTGGCATTCTTGTCATTAAATAAATTCCTTGAGTTTATTTGGCAAAAAACCAAGAACCTCTTTTAATATCTTAAGTTCTGAAAGTACTCATATAGCACTTTACACTACGTACACTAATATTTGATTAACATTTGGTTAGTCACATCATTATCTCATAGAGAACACACCTGCTCCTTTGAGTCCTGTAAATAATGCTCTCCCTGAGAAACCTCACCTGGACAAGAGCCTGGGTACAAAACTAACATTAATAATGCCTTATTGTAGATCAAAAGGCAAGTATCACCATTAACAGGGCTTGTTTCCTCCAGTAAAAAGGCAAATAGAGAAATGTTATCTCAGAACTAGGGCACTGGACTAGGATTATCAGACCCTAGGTTCAAATCTCAGAATCACAGCATGGGAGAGAATGCTTTCCAGCTTAACACAGACGATATAAAACTGCAATGCTAATTATTTAGTACCACTTCTTTGCTTTCCTCACTTGTCCTCAGTCATTTACTTATTAAGACAGCAACACAATTCAGCACATTTACAAATAGTTCTTAAAAGTGATATATTATCTCATGAAAGATATAGTATCCATTTTCCTTTGTGTGTGTGTGTGTGTGTGTGTGTGTGAGAGAGAGAGAGAGAGAGAGGGTTTCTCTGTGTAGCCCTGGCTGGCCTAGAACTCAGAGAAATCTGTCTGCCTCTTCCTCTTGAGTGTTGGGATTAAAGGCATGCGCTACCACTGCCTGGCTCACTATCCACTTTCAATACAAATAGATACCTAACACTACTTTTAAATAACAGATAAGGGCTGGCTGGAAAGAGCGTCAGCCATTAAGAGCACTGGCTGAACTTGATGAGGTCCTGGGTTAGGTTCCCAACACCCAGGTAGTGGCTCACAACTACCTATAATTGGGTCCAGGAGACCCAGCACTCTCTTCTGACCACTGCAGGCACCAGTACACTCATACACACACAGGCAAAACGTATAAAAATACATAAACCTTTAAAATAACTAATAAAAGGTAGAGGCATCACTCAGAAGTAGAGCTCTTACCTGCATACATGAAGTTGTTGATTCAATCTAGAGGGAGGGTTGACAGATAAGGGACAGAACTAACAAGAAATTTTGAGTCATTTTCTATCACACACCTCAGAGTACTAGCATAGGCTACAGAAGTCAGCAGTGAAGAGTTCTCAGCTCTCTATAATTGGTAAAACTCTTCTTGACCAAACTCTAGCTAGGATTCTCTAGACCATTTCTTAAATTAGGCTCCATCCTTGGTCCTTATTCCCAATAGCCCATTGCAGCAGGAATCCTGTTATATTAAGTTGGTTCTGTTCCTAGTAAATCATTCACAGCATCTGACAAAATCCTCTCACCTCACATATGATGTCCAATTACCCTGGCCTGCCTTCAGAAAGAATCCTGCTACTTAGGGGCTGAACAGCTGGTACAGGAGTTAAGTTTCTTGCTGCACAACAGTGAAGACCTGGGTTTGGATCCTAGCACCATGTAACATGCACAGCATCCTGCACATACCTGTAATCTCAGCTCCATGTGGGGCAGAGACAAAAGGATGGGTGGGACTTGCTGGCTTCCAGCATAGCCCAGAATATGCAAACCCCAGATTCAGGGATAGACCCTGCCTCAAAAGAATAAAGCAGAAAGTGATAAGAGAGCATCCAATGCACTCTTCTGTGTATATACTCGTACAGTCACAAAGACAAAGACACACACACACACACACACATACACACACACACACACACACACAGCCCTTTTAAAAGGAAATCCTTCTACTTTTGTTTAGCCAGAAATCCTGCTTTAACCCTCATGTTTCCACTTAGTAATCTCCCACCCCCACCTATTCATCCCTCTCTGACCTTTGGCAATAAATCTGGAATGAAAATTAAGTTCAGTTATATCCAGAGGTATTTTCCTCACTACAACCTCACTGTAATACTTCCTGTATAAAATCTATTTTTACCTACTTAACAATTGTAATATTCTACTTTCTCCAGCAGAACCAAACTTTGTTTGAAATCAATGTCAACACAAAAACAAGTAAAATCAGTTTATTAAAATAAGCATAAGTATCTAGAAAACAAACCTATTAAACACATCAACTGAGCTTAAAATTCTCAAGAAAATTAACAGAAACACTATACCAAGAAACCTGCAAATTTTACTGTACCGCAAGTTGCTATAAGGCTACTATCATAGGGTAAAAAGAAGATACTGGTATCCAATTTTGTGAAGAAATGCCCACTTAACCTATAAAACCAACATAATAACTGTGACTCTCAGAATCAACTGACTAGTCTTATGTCATAGCTAATTTCACAAGCTTTTTGTTTCACTTGTTGCAGAATATAGTTTTAAATTTGTGGTTCATTCTCAGGTTATACAGTACAGCTCATCTGCACTAGTGAGTTTTGTTTTGGTTTTGTCATCTTGACACTAGTTTATGTCATCTGGGAAGAGGGAACTTCAATCAAGACAATGCTTCTCTAAGATTAACCTGTCAGTGTATGCTTCAATTCTTCCCTCCAGATTTCTGCTCTCCCTTCTCTTCACGATGGACTCTGTGTAAGGTGTAAGGTGTAAGGTGAAATAAACCTTTTTCTGCTCACACTGATTTTAGTTATGGTCTTTATCACAGCAGTAAAACAACTAGAACAGTTTCCAAACTCTTTTTAGTCTTAAACCCTTGGGTTCTATTCACAGTCTCATTTTAAACTCATACACTCATCACACTTAACAACCAAACTTATTTTAAAAAGGCAGAATATTTTTCACATTGTTAATATTTTTCCAGTTTTTTTCTGATCTAATATTTATACACTTTCCATGTATGCGTTGTGTCTCCATCTTATCTACATTAAACTCCATAGTGCTTACCTTACCATCTAGCATCTACTTTAACAGTATTTCAGCAAATGTAATGTTCACGAAAACAGACTATTTTACACCATATACTCTTCTTTGTTTTTTTTGTTTTTTTTTTTTTCAAGACAAGAGTTTCTCCGTGTAGCCTTGGCTGTCCTGGACTTGTAGACCAGGCTGACCTCAAACTCACAGAGATCCACCTGCCTCTGCCTCTGCCTCTGCCTCCCCCCAGTGCTGGGAGGAGGTGTGCCCCTGCACCGGCAACATCATATACTCTTATGAGAGAATTTAAATAAGTTATCAGTTTTCAATGCACATGCATGATCTGTGACATTTCGGTTTTTGTCTACAATAAATCAAATGTATTTATTTATTGAGAGCTTTCATTATTTAGGCTTTGTCTACATACATCATTGCTCCAAAATCTTTAATACTATTCCCTACAAAAATATTCTCAAGAACACAGCATCAACATGAGCAATGTATCATATATAAATATTATCTTTTCCTCACAAATATGCTATTACAGACTTATTTTTCTTTATTTTCTAAATTACATGCAATTAACATATATTATGTCACAAAACAAATGTGATCCACAGGTGAGGAGTTTCTATGTTATTTTCCTTAAAGACACAGGTAAGCATTTTATCAGAACAAAACAAAGAAAGTCAGTAAAAGAATACTGTACCTTCACCGCCACGTGAAGCTTTGCTGTTTTCTTGGATGGTCCTGAGGCTTCGTATGTTGTGCCATCCACATCTACAGACATTGTGAAGACTGGGGCATGAACTGGGCCAGACTGTGACAAAAGCTTATACTGAAGCCCAGGCCTGATCTGATTTAATCTCATTAGTGCATTCATAAGGTCTATTGCTTTACTATCCAGAACTATGAAAGAAAGAGAAATTAGATTAAAAATTAGCTAGAAAGCCATTCTGCTTCAAACTATACATCTGTAGCTCCTATTAATCACTAAAAATTCCCCCTGTGATTGTATGGAAAGATGGATCAGAAGGTGAGAGCACTTGTTGCTGTTGCAGAAGACCTAGGTTCAGTCCCCAGCACCCACATGGAGGCTCACCACATCTCTAACTCCACGTACCTAACACCCTCTTCTGATCTGCAGGCAAAACATTCATAGGTATAAAATAAATCTAAAGAAATGTTTTTAAATTTCTCACATGTTTAAAAACATTGATAGTTTTTGAAATACAAATTCAAGCCCCATGAGTAGTCTTTAAATTTCTTGTGCTAATATGATGGAAAAAATGTCACATTAATATCTATTTGTCAGCACTGATGTCTTAAGCAATGTAACTTAGAAACTCAAAATTCTTCATTTACCAATTTTGTCAACTAAGGTCTATTCTTAAAATTCTAAGTCAACGAAACTCTTCCTTTCTTATTTTTCTGAAGCTATAAACTTTCTTTAGTTCCCCCAATAAGAATAAAGGATTTACATACTTTTCCTTAAGTTTCGTTTCATCTTCTTATTGGGATCTTTATCATCCCCTAATCCATCTTCAAATGGCCTCTTTAGAGCTGAAGACCCAGCACCTACAAACAATTACAGATCTTCACTGTCAATTAAAACAATAATCCTATTTAATATGACTGGAAAAATCTCAAAAAAAGATCAGTTAAAATACCATCTAGAACGTACAATGTTCTTTTGAAACCATTTATTATCATTTTTATAAATACCTATGCTGTATTTATTCAGGTATGCTCATGTCTATGTGCATGCTATGATCTGGTTCTTCTGTCCTCCTAAAGTTCATATGCTGAATCTTAATTCCCTATGCAATGAGAGAAAGGTTTTGTGAAAGGCAAAATCTTAATGAGCATTAGTGAGCTTGTAAAATATGCCTGAAAGAGATGGAGACATATAGCAGGTGCCATCTGTAAGAAATGCACTATTACCAAATGCTGGGCAGTGATGGCGCAAACCTTTAATCTCAGTACTAGGGAGGCAGAGACAGGAAGGTCTATGTAGCTTTGAGGTCAGCCTGTTTTACATAACGAATTCCAGGGCAGCCAGAGCTAAATAGTCAGACCTTGTCTCAAAAAAAAAAAAAAAAAAAGGGGGGGTGGGGTGGGGACCACTAACAGACATCCCAAACATCAACTCTGCTGGAGCTTTGAGCTTAGACTTCCAGCTTACATAACTGTGAATAATAACCCTTTATCATTTATGAGTTACCCAGCCTAAGATACTTTAGTACAGAGACTAAACAGTCTAGAATGGCACATATTCACATCTGTTATGAACATGAACAAGAAGTCTGTCATCTATGTATCAATGATAGAAAGCAGTTACATATAGAAAAATTCATCTATCTTTTTAAGTATTTCTAAATTGCTTGTCAATATATTAAAACCTATGTTTTTATAAATCTCATCATCAAATTGTAAGTCTTCTGCCTCTTTAAGTCTTCTGCAGAATTTTATTTACAGTTTTCTATGAGGCTTTTCTCCCATTATCAACTTCCTACTTAATCAGAAGAACACTGTATATTATTGCCTATTTGCATATATATTTTTTATGTATCCTTAACTTCACTTCAAAGGTGCAGTTTCTACTTGGCTTCTATTTTATAACGTATCTTAACATGAGACTTAAGAACAACATAATGGAAAGAAACCTAAACTAATACTAATACAAATGTTGGATAAAGCAACCAATTAGCAATGTTCCCAGGCATAAGAGAAGCTTTGCTGCTCAAGTTTCAAAAGAGAAAGAGAGGAAAGGACATCAGCTTGTTCAAGAACATTAATGAATTATGTCTTAATATCAATTAATAGGACTTTTTCTAAGAAAAGTTATACTCAAGATATTCATGCCACAAGATTTCTAGATACTTCTAAGAAAAATATGCAACAACAGTGAAATTCTGCATTTTCTCACTATCAAGACTTAGTGTCCCTTGGCATAATCACGAAGTTCAGTGATCACTCATGTCAGCACTTTCCAGTCAGCTCAATCTTGTTCTCCACCAAAAAAAAGCGGCATCTGCTTAGTGTTACTGTCTCATTTGCAAACAGCTCTAAGTCAGTCAGTCTTCTAGAGCTTTAAAAAGGAACTATGTTTATTCTATCTTTCTCTTTCTCATTACCTTATATTAAAAGCAGCTCCTTAACTGAATAGAAATTATAAGCTGGCTAAATAAATGGGTTTATCCATGCCAAATACATAGATAGAGTTCTGTGGCTTCACCTTATCAGCCCTGCCATTGGGGAGGGGGGGAGGAGCTCAAATACCTGGTGCTGATCACAGTTAACCAAGGAAAAACACAGACTTACATTTATAAAAAGCAATCATTTTAACCTTCATGGTCTAGAAATGAGATAATTTCTGAGGCAAAATATTTTTTCATAAAATTTAGGTGTTCACCACATAGGTCTGGTACCATCCTTATTCTTTACATGTAATTACTTAGTCCTCACAAGCACTCATAGCCAGGACCTCTTGTCATTCCCATTATAGACTCATTCAGTAACATATTTTCAGCACTTACCATATAAGGCAATTTTAAGTATTTAACATGTAACAGGGACAAATATACTCCTGTCCTCAAAAAGCTTAGGCACAGTGGTGGAGACTAATTACAACATGACATATAACAGTGATGCAGGCACTCACAGGAAAGTTTTCAGCAACTAGGGCCCCATTTGGTTTTGGTTATTGCGTGCACATCACCTTTTAATGGTGTACTTGGCAGCCTACTTTCTTTACCTGCACTGCTACGTGCACATATCCATCTCGAAAGAATGCATTTAAAAATCTCAGACTGTCCTCAATGCTCAAACTGCATTGAGCAACACGTACTCTCATCTCTGAACAATAGTTTAAATTTCTTCACCCCTAGTAGCAATCAAATTTATACAATTTCTACTCAAGTGTATTCCCAACATGTGCAAATGTGAACAGAAGAGCAGAATTAGCCTGAAGTGGTTTGGGTGCCAATTATGGTAAAATTGCATCACCTAGCAAACTTTTAGAGAGAATCACCCCATTATCATCTTATGTGGGTGTGCATATGATTAAAATCAGACGAATTATGGGAAGGAATACAGTAGGAAAAAATGTATGACCTAATCTAACAATCAAAATACAGTACCACCCAAACTATGCCCATTTATACCCAAACTCTTTTTTCTTAAACAACATAAAAAGCCCCAAACAAATGGAGTCCCTAAGTATGCTTACTCATGTCAATTTTGCCAATGTATTCCTCTAATCTGTACTACTTCGCTCCAAATTAAGTTATCTTGCTTCTTTTGATAGTCTGTGTGAACCCTTACCTTCAATGTATAAGAGATGAAGAACCTCTAAACATTTGGCCCAGATTGTGACCACTTATCAAAGTACTGTGTATAATAAAGATTTATTAAAACAGTTCTCAGGGGCTGGAAAGATGGCTCAGTGGTTAAGAGCAATGTCTGCTCCTCTGCAGGTCCAGAGTTCAATTCCCAGCAACCACATGGCGGCTCACAACCATCTACAAAATGATGTTGTGCCTTCTTCTGGCATGCAGGTGTACATGCAAATAGTACACTCATAAAATAAATAGATCTTTAAAAATCAAAAGATTAAAAATTTTTAAAAAAGCAGTTCTCAGTAATCAATAAGAGAACTCTAGATCTACTCGACAAATTTTGGCCAAATATAAAAGATAGAAAATGTCCACTGCCTGCGAAAAAGAACAGACACAGAGGGTAAGAGTTTAGATTTTAGGAACTGAAGCAATGGCTTAGCAATTAACATTGGCTGTTCCTCCAGAGGAGCTAGGTTCAATTCCCAGTACCTACATGGGTGGTTCCAGGGGTTCTGACACCCTTTTTGAACAAACACAGTCACCAGGAACATACATGGCGCACAGTCACACATGCAGGCAAAACACTCATGCACATAAAATAAAAATTAAGATTTTTTTTAAAAAAAGTTTAGATCTTAACTATCTTAGGTCTAAACTGTTACTAAGCCAGACATTCATTTGATCATGTGGACTGAAGGGCTAGTAACAAGTACAAATTTAGGGTCATTTTTGGTAAAAAGAAGACATTTCAAGACAGAAGACTGAATGAAGAAAGTGTAAATAAAGACAAAGACTAAGGATTGAATGCTGGAATATTTTTAATATTTAGAATTCAGAAATTCAAATAAGAACAAAGATAAGTAAGATGGCAATGGAGCTCGAAAAACCAAGAGAAAGTAATCATAAGATACTCAAAAGCAGCATTTCACGTCACAAAAGTGTCCAGCAACAGCAATGTTGAGAATTGAGAGCAACAGGAACTGTCATACTTTGCTGGAAGAAGGGTATACTGGACAAATTTCTAGGTCATTTGCTGCCTGTAATATTTCCAAGACAGAGCTGGGTGTGGTGGGGCATGCCTTTAATCCCAGCACTCAGGGAGGCAGACGAAAATAGATCTCTGGGAGTTCAAGGCCACCCTAGTCTACAAAGTGAGTCCAAGACAATCATGGCTACACAGAGAAACCCTGTCTTGAAAAAAAAAATTTTTTTCCCCAAGAAACACACCTCAGGAGGATTGCATGAAAGTACTAGTAGCAATTCTATGGGTAGCTGAAAAATACTAAATAACCTAAAAATCCTTCAAAAGTCAGAGAAATAAATTATGACATATTCATAATGGATGCTATAGTGCTATAAGATGACAAACTAGTGCAACACCTAGAATTAATCTTAAATAATATTGGACAAAAAGATTAAGCTGGTACAACTTAATTTCTAGAAAGTTTAAGGCAAATTAAATTATTAAAGAAAGCACATCCAGGTGGGAAAGCTAGGAAATACAGGAAAACACTGTCCAAAAATCAGGATTGGTAGTTCACAATGGCAAGAACATAACAAGGGTAGGACACATGGAAGGTACCTGAGATATAGACAATATTCTGTTTCTCAACCATGGCAGTGATTATGTAAACAAATTTTAAAAATAATTCTTTTCAGTTGCTCTTCCAAAAGACCTGAGTTCAATTCTTGGCATCCATATAGCAAGCAACTCAACTATCACTCCAGATCCAAAGGAGCTGATACCTTCCCTCTTGGCCTCAGCAGGCACCTGGCACACATGTGCTACACAGACATAAATGTAGGCAAAACAGACATATACATAAAATTTAAGAAGTGCTCACCTGTGTCAAAGCTCCAGCAGGATCAGGGCTCAAAGCAAACCACTGAAGATGGTAAGGGAAAGGTAACAGGCAAATAATTGAGCAGCAATGAAGAAGAAATCCATCATGATAGAACAAGCTCAAATCACAGAAAAGTTAGAAAAGGACAAAAAAAAAAGAGAGAGAGAGGCAAAAGATAAAACATTCTACACAAGCAAAAAGGCAGATCATCAAATAAGATGCTGGAACGATTGAAGACATGAAGACGGAATGATGAGAATATGTCCAAGTTACCTGCAGATATATTACTCTAAAAAGAGAGAAGCATGCAAGATCACCCAGTGAAAGAAGAAGCTGTAAAATGAGAAGTGTTAAAGAGTTTCTGAGGAATATGAGACAACTCAGACAACACAAA